CCCTGGGGATACAGCTCCTGGGGTTCGGGGGCGCAGCAGGAGAAGCCCACACTCTGAGAGCAGGCTCAGAGGAGTGGGGGCGCAGGACGAGAGCAGCTCAGACAGGTACTGAGGCGCTGAGCCGTGCAGAGTCTTACAGGTGAGCAGGAGGATCTGGGCCTGGACATGAAACTAGACAGGAAGCCAGTGCAGGGGCTCCAGGACAGGAGTGATGGATTCACGCCACTCTGAAAAGAGAGTTTTATAGGGGATTTACAGTAGATTCCCCAGTGAGGAGAGCGTTACAGCCGTCAACTCAGGAGAAAAGTGTTGACCAGCATTTCGGCCACAGCTAACGACAACCCAGGACGTAGTTTGGCGGTATTTCTGAGGTGGAAGACTGATGTGGGTCAAAAGTCTAGCCTGGATCAAATATCCGCCCCCCCTGCCATGGGTAACAAAAAGAGTTCTTTCAGGGCAGACGACAGGATCCGGGGTGGAGTGAGGAAAACACAGGGGAAAGACAGGCAGGAGTCGGGAATGAAGACGGGGGGCGTGTCCATGGTGCGCAGGTGTCCAGGGGGGAGAGTCCGGGGCGAACAGTCCAAAACAGGGTCCAGTGGGAAAATCCAAGACGAAGGCAAAAGGTCCAGAACCGGGCGGTCCGAACGAGACTGCCGATTAAGAACCAGAGCCGGGTCGGTGTGGGATGTGGGAGTCAACGCAGAGCCCCGAACGGAGGGGGCGTCCGGCTTTTAAGGGGGGCTGGGAGGAGGCTGGAACAGGGGGCAGGGGCACAGAACCAGGTCCGAAGCGGACGAGCCGGGGCGCCCTTAAGGGTCTCCGTGTCTCCCTGTCTCCCCTCTGCAGTTCGCCGCCATGCAGTACTCCCACAAATTCCAGACGCACTTCACCTTCTCCGAGTTCATGGCCACCGCGGGCAGCTGGCAGCACCTGGTCGACGGCATCCAGCAGCTGAGAGGGCCCACACACACCCCCACCGCCATCCGCAAAGTGGTGTAAGTCCGGAGGGTGCTGATCCCATCCGATCCGATAAGACCAGACCAGATCGCTGTATCGGCCAGATACCATGTCTTGTGTGAGCAATCTGTCATCTCACAGAGCCCAGCTCACTCTCCAGAGACACACTCACACTCACTCTCACACTCACACTCACACTCACTCTCACTCTCACTCTCACTCTCACTCTCACACACACTCCAGGAGACACACACTCTCACACACACACACTCACACACTCACACTCACACTCACACTCACACTCACTCTCACTCTCACTCTCACTCACTCACACTCACTCTCACACTCTCTCACACTCACTCTCACACTCACACTCACACTCACACTCACACTCACACTCACACTCACTCACACTCACACTCACACTCACACTCTCACTCTCACACTCACACTCACTCTCACACTCACACTCACACTCACACTCACACTCACACTCAC